TGACCAAATCTACCAAGATCATTGATGTAAGTGGTAGTGAACCTGTTGAATACAAGGGCAGGGTACCGGCGCGCAGCGTGGTGATCCCTGGCACTTACCCAAAAAAGTTCCCTGCAGGAGAATACAATGTGAGCTGTGCATTGATTATTGGTAAACGCAAGGAGAGTACCGATATAAAAACAAGCCTGAATGATGCATTGAGAGAGTTCAATGTGAGTGTATAAACAAATACTATTGATGTATAATTATAAAAGGCCTCCCAAAGGAGGCCTTTTTATTTGACTGAACAGACGGAACGTGCAGTGAATAAAGTGAACATAATCCCCGACATAAATAATAAGAGCTTAGTAGTAGTAAAAACAACCTAAAAAAATGCTTATGTTACTCTGCTACAAAAAACATATAAAGATAGTCCTTGTACTGCTCTTTTGTATGCTGGCGGGCACCCAGTTGAATGCCCAGTTAAAGATAGGTGATCAGCCTACCAGTATCAACAAATCTGCTTTGCTGGAACTGCAAAGTACGAAACAGGGTTTCCTGTTACCGAGGCTTACAGATACGGCGACGATCAATACGTTTACGCCGCCCGATGGGATGCTGATCTACCTGAATGCAGGTAATGCGGGTAATGGATTGTATTTAAGGAAGTCGGGTTTTTGGCAAAGAGTTACTGTTGATTCATTGAGCAATAAGAACTGGAGTGTGAATGGTAATACCATCGGTACCGGTAATGCGAAATTAGGATCATTGGATGCACAATCTATCAGTGTTATTACCAATAGTATACAGCGTATACTGGTTGATGGTAATACAGGGGATGTGTCTGTAGCCAACCGGCTGAATGTAACAAAAGCGATTACCGGCGCAGATAGTATTTATGGAAAGAACCTGTATGCACAGGATTCTGTAAAAGGTAACAACTTTGTTGTAGCAGATAGCTTATACCTTAAGAACCTGCAATCTACCACCAGTACACAGATATTGGTGATCAATCCCACCACCGGTGCGGTTTCACAAAGAACCCTGGATCCGGATCTGTTTCAAACATGGGCTATTGGCGCTTTTGCCAATACAGATAACGCCAATGGCCTGGAAAAGAAACTGGGAACCGCCGGGCAATCGGATAGCCTGATATTGCATGCCGCCAGTGTGAATGCGCCGGGTGGCGTATCTACGTTAACACAAAGCTTTGCAGGTACCAAATCGTTCAGGGATTCTGCTTTTGTAGGAGGCAGCGGAACACCCAACTCTACTTTACAGGTAGGTGGTAGTGTATCGTATCATATACGAACTGTTACAACGGGTACAACACTCCTGGTATCGGATTATACCGTATTGGCTAATACAACTGGCGGCGCTATTACGGTTACCCTGCCTGCGGCTACCGGGCTGGCGGGACGTGTGTATGTTATTAAAAAGATAGGCACGGGCGATATTGCCAATCCATTGACTGTAACAGGTAACATTGAAGGCGTTGCGAGCACGAACTATATGATCTATAATGACGGAACTTTTGTAAAACTACAGGCCGATGATACGGGTACCAGCTGGTATATTATAGAGCGTTAAATCGTTTTACTCTCCACAATTGAAACAGACCCGTGTAGCAATACCCGGATCATGTTTCAATCTGTTCTGACAGATAGTCCTTTGTACCAATTATTTCCGCCATGCTGAGAATGCAAACCGGTGTTATAAAATCCTTGCTGTTATTATGCATATTATGGTGTAATACGGAGGCGGTTTGCGCTCAGATAAAATTAGGCAGCAATACAGTGGGTACTACACGGTCTGCTATACTCGATCTGAACAGCGCTAACCAGGGTTTACTATTACCCCGTATCACTGATACAAGCGCTACTACCGGTGTAAGCAAGTATTCTCCACCCGATGGTATGTTTATCTTTTTCAATACAGATAAAAGCTTGCGGATCCGTAAGAATGGTTCATGGATAAAGGTAATAGATAGCCTGAATGCTTTGCAGGCAGACTGGAACCAGGCTTCTACTACTGCGTTGGACTATATAAAGAATAAGCCAACGATCACAAATGGTACAGTAACAAGTATTGGGCTATCCAGTACGGACTTTACTGTTTCCGGGTCGCCCGTTACCACTTCGGGTATTATTACGGCTAACCTGAATACCAGTGGTGTAACGGCAGGTAGTTATTCTACGGTTACAGTGAACAATAAAGGTATTGTGACGGCGGGAACCAACAGGAGTTTTAGTATTGTTGCCAGAACCCTGGGAACTTCACCTACCAGCTTCCAACCCTCTACTACCAGGGATGCACAAGTAGTATATACTGTAACAATAAATGCCGTCGCGACGCTGATATCCGGACAGGCCGGCACCGTTTTCCTGGAGTATTCACCCAATAATTCTACATGGACTACCATAGGGCAGGTAACGCATAACATTGTTACAGGTTTAATTCTAAATATTTCGGAAACTATGCAAGTGAGCGGATATATACCGGCAGGTTACTTTGTTCGATTGAGAACTTCCGGTGCTGCAACAATTACTTATGTTACCGGCCAGGAAATGCTGTATTAAGCAATTGAAAACAATACATGATTGAAGCAACTACTACAACATATCATCTTACTGTACCTGTGTATGAGTATGGTTATTACAACCAGCGCACAGACTGCACAGTCTGATATCTATGTGCCGAAAGGCGGCAGTGTGTTCTTCTATGCTGCTGATACAGCTTCCATTTTTGGCAATGTATGGCTGGATGGTATGATGGGTAATCAAACCGGTAGCCGTATTAACTTTTTTGGCAGGCAATGGCATACCGGCAGTACTGCAACTTTGCCGGATGAGTCACCATCTGGTGTTGCCAATACCGGGGGGCTGATTAATTTTCAGCAACCGAGTCCATTGTATGGTAACCTGGGCAGGCAGTTGATTAATGGTAACTATGATATTTTTTCATCGTCGGGTAGCAGCTATCCTTCCATCTTATTGAATAATTCACTGGGTTTACAATTAGATAGTACCAGTCTCCTGATCCGCCGGTCCTTACAATTGACTACGGGTAAAGTGTACCTGGATAACAATAACTTATTGGTAGGCGGGGCGGGTATACAGGGAATCATCAAAGGATATAACCAGTATAACTATGTAGTAACAGGTGATCAACCCATGGGTGGCTTTCTATACCTGTATGGTATACAGGATAGTATTGCCAAGGTTGTTTTTCCTATTGGCACAACAGATATCTCTTATACACCTATGGCTATTAAGAATCGCGGTAAAGGCAATCTTTTCCGGGCGAGGGTTTTTGATAAAGTATTTGATATGGGGATGACAGGGAAAGACATCAGCGTTAGATCAGTTAACAAAACATGGATACTGGCGAGCGCTGATAGCAATTTATATGCAGACGTTGAATTGCAACATACGCTTGTTGAAGAGGGGAATGAATTTATTACTTACAGGCGAACCACTTTTATAAGCCGGTTTACCAATGGTGCATGGGATACTGCGGCTCCTTATGCCTTACCCAGGCAGCCAGGCGATCTCACCACCGGGCCGGCTATCGTTAGCGCCGGCGTTAATGACAGGCCTATTTAATACGACCACTACAAGCGAGTACCTGTATACCAAATTTTCCAAATCGCTTGATCTGCCTCACTTCTTTGCCAATGTGTTTAATTTTACGGCGCAGCGGTTATTGCCTGTATTGGCAAAGCTTGACTGGAGCTATACACAGGAACAGGTATCCGGTGTAACTTATTATGAGGTAGAGAAGCGGCTGGAGCCTGATTCTGTATGGAAAACGGTAAACAGCGTGCCTTACACGGCAGCCAACGCACATCGGTATACCTGGTATGACAATGATGTGTACTATAGAACGCCTATCTCGTATCGGATAAAGGCGTATACTACTTTCGGCGCTTATTTCTATTCAGATATTCGTACTATACCGGGTGTGATCGATCCTTATTATATGATCTACCCCAATCCTACCAATGGCGTATTTTTTCTACAAACAAGAGATTTAGTGAAGGTTGATAAAATGCAACTCTATGATTTTGCCGGAAGGCTTTTGATGGAACAAAAGATAACCACTTTCCTGACCCGGTTTGATATTACCAGGATGGCTCCAGGAGGATATGTGGTGGTAGTATTTGATAAAAATGGCCAGATGCTTTCTTCTACGAAACTGTTGAAGAACTATTAGCCATTACTTTTCAAATACCACGGTATCCGTTGGTGCACCTAATTTCTCTAATGTTTTCGTAAGCTCCTGTACCATTGCATCAGGACCACAGAGGTAGAAATGCTTGCTAAAGTCTGCTATATGTTGTTTGATGTATTGTTCGTCAATTCGTGTTGTTGGGTATTTCTCCGAATGTTCTTTTGTAACAATAAAGTGTGCGTGTTGACCAAGGATGCTTTCCAGCTCTTCCCTGTAAATGATATCTTCTGCTGTTTTATTGGAGAAGAATAAAGTATTGCCGGCTGTTTTACCTTCTTCGTGTAGTTTCCTCAGGATGGCAATAAAAGGCGTAATACCTGCACCGCCGGCGATAAAATAGCCAGGTCCTTTGTATTCAATTGCGCCCCAGGCGTCACGGATAATTAATTCATCACCCGGTACTAATTGGTGTAGTTTATCTGTTATGCCATGATGATCTTCATACCGTTTAATGGTAAACTCGAGATATTTTTCCCCGGTTAATGCGGTGAAAGTAAAGGGCCTTGTTTCTTCTTCAAGTCCGGCTTTGTTAATAGATACATCTGTTGCCTGGCCAGGCGTAAACTGGTACCCTTCCGGTTTTTCTATGCGGAAGCATTTGACATCGTGTGTTACCTGTTTTATGGAGTGTATTTTTACTATTGCTTTCATGAGTATACGCTTGAGTGTAACAAAGCTATTCAATTCCCGTTCCAAAATGAAGAGGATACCTGAAGGAAGGTCAGCGGGAAACTATATGAATAACCGGGTTTTGGCAATGAAAAAACCACTCCTGAAGAGTGGTTTAGTGCCCAAGACTGGATTCGAACCAGCACATCCTTGCGAACGCTGCGACCTGAACACAGTGCGTCTACCAATTTCGCCACTTGGGCATCCTTACTGTTATATAACAGATTTGGGAGTGCAAATATAGGAGATACAGTTTATTTACAAACTGCTTTTCAGGACAATTAATTTCCCGGGGTTGCCGATTGGATCACACCACCAGTAAACTACAGCCCCGGATATCGCTGTTATCCAGGCGTCCCCATACTTCAAAGCTGCCATCAGGGTAAACAATGCCTACATCTTCGGTGGCAATAAAACTGCAGCTATATAGATTGGCTAAATCTATTACATTCAATACACCCCGCCCTTCCGTATTGACGTGCAACGGGTCTTCTTCGTCTCTTACCAATACTTTCATCCATGGTGGACATACAAATCGCCCTTCGCCTTTAGAATAAGCTTGTGACAGCAGTTCCGTCATGCCATATTCGGAGTGGATAACAGAAACGCCCAGGCGGTCCCGGAGGTATTGGTGTACTTCTGCCCTGGTTAATTCTTTTCTTCTGCCTTTCATACCGCCCGTTTCCATTACTACGGTGTGTTGCATGCGGAGGGGGTGCGCTTCGGCAAAATCGAGCAGTGCGAAGGTTAC